TGCTATGACAGGCTGTAAAACAAAGAACAAAGTCAATATATAAAGAGTTTCCCCTTACAGGTGTCCTTGATGAAGATGACCTGTGTTCAAACTGCAAATAGAAGGTCAGTCGCTACTCAGATGTGTGCTGCTACGGAGCCCTCACCAGCACAAAGGCAGTGCATGCATGGGTTACAGAACATATGCTTTAGCACCTGACTGCCTGGGTTTGAATCCCAGATCTGCCATTTGCTAGCTGTGCAACCTTGGGCAAGTTATTTAACCTCTCTGTGTCTCAGTTTCTTCTTCTATAAAATGGGAACAATACTGTCTACCAAATAAATATAAAGCACTTAAATATTTCATGGCACATAGTAAATATGTAATTGTTAGCTACTATTATTATCTAAGACAGATTTTAGAGAGACTAAATCTGTGAGTCACAGATAAGGAAGGAAATTTACAACCTACTTTACTTTTCTTTTTCAATAGGAAAAGCCACATCAAAGGTTAAGGAAAGGATGTTCTGTCTTTATTAAAAGCAAAGGAGAATTACTATATTAGCCCCAAAGGTCGGAGAAACCTGAGTTGAATCCAGGCTTTGCCACTTACTGGTTGAGTGACCTGGGCTAATATTTAAAGCTTTTTAAATCTCAGTTTACTTATCTTTAAAATGGAGATTATAAGAGTTCCCCCTATCATGTAAAAGGCTTAGCATAGTGTCTGGCTACAGTAAATGTTCCATAAATATTAACTGACATTATAATTATAAAGGTTTTCAGAAGCAGGGACACAAAACAGAAAACAAGAGAAAACTGGGTTAAGGATAAGGGTCTGGAGGAGACTGTCCCTAATATGAAAGCCACTTATGCCAGGGGTCAAGGTCAGTGCTACATTGTGGTGCTGTAGGTCAGTGCTACACTGTGGTGCTGTGCATGGTGACATAGGCCAAGGACTATTGCCATAGGTCTGTAATTTATTGCAACTCCCACGTTTGAACTTTCAAACTTAGGAAACTGCAGCTACATCAATGGATATGATATGCACGCTCTCAGACCTGGCATTTAATTCCTGAGGAGTTCAAGCAAGATTTCTCCTTGTAATGATGAGTCCCAGAACAGCCAGATATTGCTAAGCCCTATCTTCCAAAGCAGCCTATTCTGATACTTCTCAAATTACCATCCTCATGGTGCTACTTTATGTTCTGGGTCCTTGCTCCTGAAATCAGTTATAGACTGTCTGTATGACACCCTTGGGAATAAAGTTTTACTCTCTGGCTGATGCTCATGGCTGCCTGAAAAGAAGAAAAAACATTTACTGTGGTTTTTTTTGTTTTGTTTTGACCTTGTGTTTTGTTTTGTTCTTGTGTTTTTTTTTTAAATACAAACCATTGTAGCTAGAGAATGTATTAGATAATATACTAGATACTTGGGTCACAATCATTTATGTCATGCCATTACTCAGATTATATAATGATATACTGAGCCAAAGCCATGCAAAGTTACTGAGTTTTATAGCCAAAAGGATAATAAAATTGTCTAGCCCAACACCCTAGTTTTATCACTGAAGAAACAGACTGAGAGAGGTTAAGTGATTTGGACAAGGTCACACAGCTTGCTAGTAAAAAAGCTAAAATTGGACCTCAGATATCCACTGTGAATTTGACTCTGATTTTTCTCGTTTCCTTTAAGAACGCAGGTCTCTACTTGTCCACATCTATGAGTTACACTCATCTTCTAAGATTTAGCCAAAATGCCAGTCACTTACTCCGTGAAGCTATCCTTGAGACTCCCTATCCAAAAGTGAGCTCTATTTTCTTCTAACACTGTGATTCTTAAACTTTAAGCTCAAATTGCAGGGCTCCACTACAGAGTTTCTAACTCTGCTGGTCTGGGGTGGGAACTTACAATTTACAATTTTAACAAGTTCCCAGGAGATGCTGATCCTGGGACCATACTTTAAGAATCACTGCTCTAAACTTTGTATTTTATCTCTGTTTATCTTTCTGATAGCACTTTCCTCCTTGTATTAGAGTTACGTATATGTGTCTTTCAATTACATACTAGACTGTAAGCTCCCTGAGGGAAAGTTCTAGGCCTTATTTATTCTTCTTCTTGCAGTATCCAACAAAATGCCTTGAAATGGCAAAGATTCAGTCAATTTTTGTTGAGTGAAAATGGTCTAGTCAACATACACCATAATTCTACATATGCTCCAGGGAGATTTTGAAAATGAGCACCAGACAAATTAGGAATTATAATAATAAAATTTAGAGACCCTGGAGAAATAGTCAACCATTTCCCAAACTGTGTTCCATGATACACTACTCCTGTGAATAGGTGTGCAACCAAAACAGCTCTTTAGGAAACACCGGTTGAACAAAGGTAGAGGGATTTCTTAATTTAGAAGTTCCCGCCGTCTTCAACATGTGCCAAAATAAACCGTCCTCATCTCCTATCTTTAGTCACCTACTCTGCTTTGTTATCTCTGTGTGAACCACAATATATTTATTGTCTTTTTGCACTATTAGAAATAAAGTTCCATGGTACATAGCCAGGATTCAGTAAACTCTTGTTGCATGCATAAGCATACTATGTTAATTGTGATTCCAATGGATATGATATGCACGCTCTCTAAAATCTGTCCAATCATGAATTCCTTCCTTTCCCCCCACGCCCCACACCTGTAGTACAAATAGAAGAAAGAGTGTTTTGTGGAATGCAGTTGGGGAAACACTGACTGAGTCCATGCTAGATACTGTGGCTCAGGCAGGTCACCCAGCTGCCTGCAAAGATTTGAAGGTGGGGTGTAATCCCAGGATTCTTGAAAAGAATTTCTTCTTCTTCTTCTTCCTATACCATATCACAGGGTATATATTCTCATTTTAACTAAGCTAAGGGTGATCCCTGAAGAAACTGTTCCAAACCTGTCATATGAACACATCCCCACATTCCAGTTGAAGAGTAAGAAAGCTGCTCCATAGTTTGCTGTGCTATTTTCTTTCCCATTAAAAAAAAAAAAAAAAAAGGAAATAGAGAATTTGCACAGTTCTGTGATCTACAAGGACTAGCATGAGGGAAAGAACCTTACCAGTAATGAATAATCACCCATATATTTTCATAGTTTTTATTATCTATTTTTACTTAGTCAAAGGCCAAAAGCAGTTTACCAAATCAGAAATACCCTGGGATGCAAAACATAAAGCAAAGTTCATATTTCACCTCTCTCTGGAAAATTCTTCTTGTCTACCCTGAGCTCCAAGTCTATGCACGGCTTATAAGCAAGAAGAGATTTTGATTTACAAGGACATGATATCACCGTCTGTCATTTTGCACGAGGTTAAAAAATCTTAAAGTAAAGCCCACAGTTGGTTCTGCCAACCAGCCAAGCAGACCATTACCCAAACTCAACCTTTTTCATTATGTTAATACTATAAATTCTAACTTTGTCCAATGGCGCAAATATTTCTGTTGTCTAAAAGTGGTCTCTTAGGAGAAAAGTTAGTCCGCATGAAGCAAGCGTAATTCAAGTTGGTTCTGAGAAAATGGAACATTCAGCCACACAGTGGCAGTGGTATGAATACGCTCCTTTATTTTCTCCCCAGGTGCTAGAAATATTTCCATACAACACTGGCTAATGTCAAGTATCATTTCATCAGTATTGCTTCAAATGTAGGGGTAATTCAACCAGGGGCTATCAGAAGAAAAGATTAGCATGTTGTTCAAGCCTTTTAAAAATCACTTCTCCCTCTGGAGAAAGAAATTCATCATGGTGTAAGAGAAAAAAAAATGTATGAGGAGAATATAATTTGCTCTCTTGGTTGGCTGTCTGAGAAAATGTTCCAGAAAAATGCATGATTTCAATTTTTCTCTTGTGGGCCTCGCTAACATAAACTAAAGGGTAAATACATTAGTATTCTCTTTTGGTTAAGATTTTAAGGAAAACAAAACCCTTTCCTAGTAAGAGCATTAACTCTGGAATAACTGCCTGAAAGAGAAAAGAGCCCACATAGTTTCAAGTAGGACAAATGTCTTCAAACAGTGTTAATTGCAATTGTCAGGGGCAAAATGCAGCCGAGGGATAAAATGTTCTCAGAGTCCTCTGCTTGCTATTTTCTGACACTTTGGATGTTTACTGTTCTGTCTAGTCCCTGCTGTCTGCCATATTTCCAAAAGCTGACATCTGCTTAGCCATCCCAATTGCCATTCCCCTTTAAAAATGAGTCTTCAAGGAAAAGAGTATCTATCAATGAAATCAGGAAGAAGAACATGGGGGAGCTTCCACACTGCACCCCTGTCCTGCTGAGAAAGAGATGGTAATTAATGCAGGGCAAGAGGAGAACCAGTGTGTGCTCAGGAGGGCTTGGGCACCCACGGAACTCTCAGACATAAAGGAGGAAAGGGATATCAGCTGTCCCTTTTCAAAAGAGCTGAAATACCAAAGGAAGATGTGATCAGTGATAAAATATGCTGAAGTTTATGGA